TCCGACCTGGTTCTAACCAGCCTTGATTGTGCCATTTGGAGACAACTATAGCATACAAGGTGGCCGAGTTTATCGCATTATAAAGACATCTGAGGAGATGCAAAAGCGTAGGTGTGATCAGAAAAAAAAGATAAGAACTACAAGTAACAACGAGATGTGATTCACTATGAATAACAGTTCTCACCGTTCTTTTCGGACGGAACAAGGTAGATCGTATCAATGTGCGGTTGAACGTTATTAATAGTGAGAAGTACACATTTACCAAGTTTTCCGATAAATATGAAGAGTGCGTTTGGATAAAATGGGGAATAAACCAGGTGTTTTAAGTCGCCGATTGCTAGTCACGGACTGTTCACCATCAAATCGAAAATAGCTACGATTGAAATCGATACCGGATTGATTTAAACGTAACCGATTTCTCCACACATTCCCATGCACTTCCCGATCAATGATCTTGATGATCATTTGTTTGGGTATGTTCGATTTGGCCGCAAAAAGCTGTGATAAATTAAAGAGGGGATAGTGACCTCGTTTACGAGCGTTCATTCTACCACTATGCTTTCGAATACAAACAATACGGGAAGACTTGACTTGACTTGAAAAAAAAGAACTATGTTTTATTCACTTAAATCAATCCCACTTTCCTTGACCCCTCGATTTGCTTATCAATCGGGATAAACTGGAGAGATAACCATGACAGACAGGAGATAAGTTAGAGGAAAAAAACAAAGATAAAAGTAACGAATAAGCAGTGGTTATTTTATCCTTGTCAGGCCCAACACCCTCCGCCGTGTTCTCACTGTTATCTCTTTTGCGAATCGACACGAATTCACATTCCGTGTTGACTGAACACGGACTATTATCAGATAAATATGTGACAAAATGTCATCCTAACGCTCACAACCGCGAACCACTTGAAAAACGATACCATTTTCTCACGACAAACTGTGTTAAATCTTCATCGTTTGTTTGCACGGAGTGCATTATGAAATGAGAATAAATGAGTTTGTTTCACTCGGGGCAATGCGATCCCGGGGGGTGCGGATGGGCAAAGTGTGTGAACTCCGAGCGTGTGTGTGTGTGTGTGGAGAGGGGTCGGTGGGAGTGAATACAATTGTAATTTTCATCCCTGTTCACTTTACCCAATGTGTAAGCAAACGGATAACAGATGACTGCATCGCGTGCACATACACAGTCTCCATTGGTATATTGATTGCACAAATGCGCAAGCCTGTGCGAATATGAAAAGAACAAGATTTAGACATGCATCCTCCGACAGACGAGAACAGCTATAGACCTGGATTTCTTTTGTTCTGCCGGATGCAGGATCGCATTCTATATTGGAATCAATTGGAAATTCACACTTCCGAGCTGCGTAAATGTGCGCGTGAAGTGTGGAGGGAAAAAAGCTCAACGGACTACAGCAAGACACTTTAACAATGTGATCAGTTCAGGAACCTGTTTCCATGCCTTCGTCGACTTATTACACCCTAGAGGTAGGCGTAAACTTTGTCTACCTCGGGAGTTGCATAACTGCTGGCGGAGGTCTGGGTGAGGAGATCCGCCAACGCGTAATCAAAGCTAGATTATCGTTTGCTAATCTGCCGCCGCCATGACATCCAACTGTCCCTTAAGGGAAGGGTACACATCGTCGCGGTTCGTAGAGTTTTACTTGACGGTTGTGAGACCGGTGTCGTTGGGGATGCTAATCGATTTCGGTATTCGACCACCGATGTCTCCGAGGCATTGCTCGTGTCTGGTGGGAACATCGGAAGAACAATGACGACGTTCGTCGTCGTTTGTTGTGTGTGGACAGTCGTTCTCTAACAGAAGTAATCGCTCTACACCACCTCCGATGGCTTGGTCACATTTTCCGTATGCCTGTCCATCGACCACCTTTTCGTGTTCTCTTTGCGCATGCCAGGCAAGGCTGGAAGTAGCTCCGCTGCGGCCAGACCATAACATGGCGTAGAGATATGAAGAAGCTGGCTTCAGTTTCCTTGGTTAGATACACTGAGAGATGTGGCCAAAAATATAAGTCAATGGGGCGAATGCTGTACAGTCTGTCTGTTGAAGTCTCGTGCCCAATTACAAAAACGATAAATTAACACAAATATATCAAATCGTGTACGGTGAAACACACAAAAATTGTTTTTTTATTTCAGTTATCTACTGTTTCACTTTCCTTCCACTTTGTTTTGCATCCTAATCCACCTATCCCCTGTTATTTATGATTATTGTGACGTTGGCATCATACTTGTCTACAAGCCGGTGTTGCATATACATATATTGCTAATCTGCGATATTCCGGGCTTCGTTGCAACATATCCGTTTTACTAAAAACGCGTGTGCATTGCTCAACGGTTGCTATTGTTTGGTTCTACGGTTGCGAAACTTGACCTCTCCAAGTAGATCAAGTCTCATAATGAAACCTTGAACTATAGACTATCTGGCCCTGACTAGCATTGTCTGCGTAACATCACCAGTGTATGATGAAAACATCACGTGATTACCGATAAGGTCAGACGACGGGTGTTACGGTGTTCAGATGATATTCCACTGAGCAAAACCATTTCATTGTACCTTCTGAACTGGCTTGGTCGTGGTCTACGAAAGCGTGAACAACGATTGCCCTACCGTGCGCTATTCGCATACATTGGGCTGAACTGTAAGAAACAGCGAGGTAGCTAATCTATGACGTGGAGTATAATTGTTTGTTCAGGTGTCGTCTTTCGAGATTGTCACCCAGTTCATCTTGGCTCGACCGATACGAAGGGATACACAGTTGACTATTTGTTAACTCCAATCAAGAGCCTCTCACCTAATCAAACATAACAGGGAGGAAGTGGCAAATTCAGTTCAGCCCTAGCATAAGTTGGTTGGCACAGTAGTAGTACACACAACTTCCTTGCGATGGGTAAGGATTTCTAATCCCGGACGGGACGGTGAATATGCTCCAGTGATGAGCTTCAGTGAAAGCGAAAACTGAGTCCACTGCCTTCGAGTGTATTGCTGACTGCAAGAACTGAGGAATGTTCGTAAAGGTGAAGTCTGAAGGATGGTCAGTTCCAACCAAGCAAAGCCAATTATCCCACAACACTATTCACAAGTAACCGTGCGTTAAATGTGAATCGCAAGATTGAACAAAAATAAAAATCCTATTTCCGTTGGTCAGTACGAACTGATTAGATAGTTGGGTGGTGGTGACACTGGTTTAATCACTTTCGCCGACGTGATTCAAACCCTATGGTTCGAGGTTCGAACCCCGCCACCACCACCCAACTCTGGTGGTAGACACCTTTTCTGTCATCAGGTTCAAATTTTCAGGCGAATGCTAACATTTTGCATTCGTACGACATGTTCTGTTCATGCAGTTTTTTCTTCACATGTTCGCAAGTTTTGAATAAACTGACAGAACTATCTGAAAGTAGTTTTTGATGAATGTAGCAGTCTTATGAGTGTGCGTGATATCTTTCGCAAATACATTTTCAGTATCGCCATATCAGCATATCCGCACAGACGAACGTTCCTGGAATCCTAGAACTGAAACTGTAACGGTGCTTAAATTAAGCAGTTTTGGTGGTAAGATTTAGGTTTCTACTAACTGTCCGTGGTTTTGGTTTTTTGACCTGCTAAGCTGTGAATATTTTCTGATCATTATGCTCGTATTTTCGTATTCATCATACTCGATTTCTATACCACCTAAATTTACATGCACCCGTTTGACAAACAGCTATATCACAACCTCCCACCAAATTGCAATCACATGGAATCTGTAATGCAATTGGTATTGAGACCACGTGATGACAGTCTATTAATCCGTTCATACCATACACCAATTGTGTGCGTGTGTGATCTATTGAACATCCGAGTCACACAACTGATAGCATTTTCTCAGGGGTACACGTCCACGAACACCCATTTCCGGTCTATAGATGACAAGTTCCATAACATGGAACTTTTACTACATACGTACACACACTGACTCGCACTGGCACCAACCATGCTCCACGAATATCATTCATTTTAAAACACTCGTTTGAACTGTTCTACCGTATCTGCATCATCAGTTGAATTAAACGCACGTTTGAATTGCAAAAATCCGGGGTTTTTTGCGGCTCTAGTGAAATGATTTGTCTAAGAACAGCGGAGTTCATTCACGCCCGGTTCTGAATGCGGTTGAATTAAGCCTGATGGGCCTCTTTTATTTACACCCTCCACCCCACTCCACCCACCCCCAAAATTAGTTCTAATCAGTATTGGACCACTTTTAACTGCACTTTTTTTATCAATCGGATTTATATAAAGTGACTAGATTTGATTAAACTACATCGATGTACTTCACTTTCCTGAATGTTTGTGAACACTCCGCTCCTGTGGAAAAGGACTTCTTTCTTTTTAACTTACATGGACCTCGGGACACTTGAAACCACATGAACTGTCGTTCGTGATTAGGCGAGATTGAACCAGGCTTGGCTGATTTCCTTCCACGTTGAATCCTTCCCCCCCCCCAGCCAATATTTGTTATATCCGCTTGCAAACTTTTCCCCATTAGGAAATGATTATTATGCATGCTGAAAAATATTGGATCTCTTTCTTTTCCCGGCGGTCATACAAAACGATTTGAACCAAATCATCAGTCCCCGTTTCATCGTGTCCCCGCTACAACATATCGTGTTTAGGTGTACAGACGCCCGAACAGTCTTTCCTGTTCCGAGCGGTGTGATCTTTTGGGACGGTCTCTTAATTTTCTTCCATCACAACCGGAGTGACCGTTTTTGTTTTTTTGTCGGTGTTCTTTAGCTCAGTTAAAGTTCGCGTCACACCACTCCAACGATGAGTTTATTATGAGATTTTGTGAGAAAACTCATCCAGAAGGCGCAAACAAGGTCCACATAAAATCACTCTCTCACACGCTCGTGCTCATATACCAAATGGACTAGTGAAGTGCAGCTTATTTCGATTCTGTTCTATTCGGAATTTCACCTTTTACAGGTTGGATGGAGGACTACGAATCGCGACCGACATTCGCGGAACTCACTCGCACATTTCACAACTTTTGCAAGACTCCCGGGCGTTATCTGTATATCCAAGTACGTTTCTGTTTGGAACGTGATTTTGTCCCGTCTGTGGCTGAGTATCCATCCTCACCTGTCCGTTTCCTCTTAAAATCGCTGTATGAGTCATTCCACTCGGTTGTATGACATATCCCTGTCGTCCATCTACTGATTCAAGATATATATATATAATGGTTAGATGGGGGATTTCATCTTATACAGAACAAAGTAATGGTGAAATTAAAAGTTGGCATATACATTGGGCGACTTTGGTTGACGCCTTCTTGGATCTCACTGTCAGTGGTAACCCATCGACCCAATTGAAGATAGAAAACCAACCAATTCACAGTTTGAATCCAAACATGTCATTTTCCATTATATCACCCGAAGGCAGCTGAACAGGCCCATACACCTGATATACCATAACCCATCTCCTCAAAGAATTATATAGACCCCCGGGGTCATGATTACTTTGGGAACACTCTGAACCCGATCTAGGATTGTATCTGTATTGTACGTTCTTGTTCTTGAGTCACAGAGGAGTAGTAGTAGTGTTATTAGTAGACTCTCAGTGACAGATCGCAGACTATTTTTCGGGGGTACCAGACGCGTATGCGAATGTCCGCTAGGGCCAAAGGCAATGCGAGTCTTGCTAAATGCGTCTGTTCGATTCTGGGTCAATTTGCAAAGCAAATCGATTAAATCGTGTAATTGGGACGCACACAAGCATACTTGATTTGTGCGCCCATAAAGGATGTAGTGTGTGGCGGGTCTCGGTCTCTTCACGGTTG